AAGAGTCGGACATGACTGATTGACTAAACACGGTAACAGGTAGCACCCAATTAGAAGAAAATTTAGGAAAAGGGGGATTTGGGGGGAGATTGCTAGGTCACAAGCTGTGGGAGATGAGCCTCAGAAATAGCAAGACACAAACACCCCCAGGATGCCCTCCCTGCTGGCACCACATCTCCACAACTGCAACTCTGTCTTCCTGCTAACGACACACCTGCTGCCAACTGCAGAGTCCTAGGTTACAATTTCCTCCATTGGGAAACACACTCATGCTTTCCGATTTCCAGTTTCAAAATTCCAGAAAGGGAGGGGTCATGACTCTCCTCTGGCCGGGTGTCCATTGCTGTCCATTTGTCGGTGGCTGGGAGACAGGTTTTCCAAAGACCTGTTCCTGAGTTATGGTGAAGATAGGATGGGCATGAGGGGAAGCAATGGCAAGAACAGGGAGCCCCTGGTGACTGGGCCACATTCACTTTAGGGAAATCTAGATTTTATTATTAAACACCAAGGTATAGGATTGTGTTGTTCTGTGGACCCTTTCTCCAGTGCAGCCCCTCTGGGGACTAGAGTTAAAAGAACAGCAGCATAGCCCCCAACCACTGTGCCCTTGGAGGTTCACCCACAGAGAGCCTGGGGTGCCTAGAACAGGAGACTATCACACACCGTAAGCTACACACTGACACTCAAGCCATGGGAAGCTACGAGTGCCCAGAAGACAAAGTGTCAAGACACCAAGACATGCCTGGCATCAGAACATGTGGACCATGCAGTGCACCCTAAGGCAGAACTCAACAAGTGCTAGATGAAGCCCAGTTACAAAGTGTGGGGCAGCAAAAGTGTTCCCCAAACACCAAAGGCATGTCAGTGTATGTTGCCCAACACAGAACATGGAGGCAAAAATGTGTGCCTGCAGACATAAACACAGCCTCTGAATGTCCTGTATCCTCAAAAGTGGGGATCCAACTGCTCCTCTGTTCCCTACAGAGAATTTTGAAATCTTTATGTTGGCATTATTAGCTGCAGAAATCTCAGAAAACCCCACAGGCTTCAAGACTGGGTGGATAAAACTTTTTAAAAAATTTATATTATTAAGGCATTTGTTTATTTTTATTGATGTATTTGCAATGTTGTGTTGGTTTCCACTGTATAGCAAAGTGATTCCTTTATATGTATGTGTAATTCATTTTTATATTCTTTTCCTTTATGGTTTATTACAGGATATTGAATATACTTCCTTGTGCTGTACCTAATGCTGTTATTTACTAAGCTGTGTCTCTCTCTTTGTGACCCCGTGGATTGTAGGATGCCAGGCTCTCCTGTCCGTGGAATTTCCCAGAGAAGAATACTGGAGTGGGTTGTCATTTCCGTCTCCAGGGGATCTTCCTGACCCAGGGATCAGACCCACATCTCTGGTGTTGGCAGGCGGGTTCTTTACCACTGAGCCCCCTGGGAAGCAAAATCAGCTGTATGTATGTGAAAAACTCTTAAACAACAGATTCTGTGCATGCTGGGTCTCAGTGAACAGCAGTGTAACTTTACACTTTGTATCATGTTTCTTCTACCAAGTAGGAGTATTTTACAGGAAATTGTTCTTCCTGTGTTGCTACCAGGAGACATTCTGTGGCAGAACCCAGTCTGATCCCTGCCATCATCAAGGTTACAAGTGCGACCCCAGAGGGTACAGACATGGTGGACAAGCTGCTGCGTGCCTGGGTTTCCACATGAGTGGAAGCTAACGTTGCTTCACCCAGTGTTTCTCAATTCATTTCCTGAAAAGACAGCTGTCTTCTTCCAGTTCCTTAAAAAGTGCTTTAGTATCTTTTTAAAAATATTTATCTATATTTATGTATTTGACTGCACTGGGTCTCAGCTGCAGCACACAGCATCTTCAGTCTTCACTGTGACATGCAGGATCTTTAGTTGTGCCAAACGGGACATAGTTCCCTGACCAGCAATCGAACCCAGGCCCCCTGTACTGGGAGCGTGGAGTCTGCCACTGGACCACCAGGGAAGTCCCACAAGTGCTTTAGTATCTTTTCCAGCTGTCTTGTAGTTCTCACAATGTCGACTTCATCAATAGAGAAATGGTCTGGATCTGCTCTCTATGGACAGTAAGTCAATCTGTGACTTTCTCAATACTACAGAGACAAATAAATAAACAATAAATGGCCTGTTAGACTCAAAAGAACCAGGGACGTCACTGAATTCTACTTGAAGCTTCTGGTTACTTGAGGGTTCCTCAGACCCATGGGACCTGTCATCAAACACACAGTCCTGGGCTGAGTGGGGGAGACCACGAGGGAGCAGTGGACCCTCACCACAGAACAAGTCCCAGAAGTGGGAGAACATTCCCACAGATGGTGGCATGTGGGACCTGCGAGCAGGAGGGGCGGAGGATGCTAGGAGGTGAGTCGAACATGCGTTAACTGTTTAGCGTCGCCTTACACGGAAGGAGAGGCCTTCCAGACTCTACCCTGGAATTCCTCCCTTCTTCTCTGCTAAACTCCTGCCATCTTGGCAACGACCTGGCCTTGAAAGAGAGAAAATACTGTCTTACAGATGAGGGCATGTAGGTGGTAGAAAGTCATTACTGACTCCTGTTCATGCTGCCTTTCCTTTTGATGTGTCTGGAGGCCTTTGAGAAACGAGGAGACGACACAGAAAGCAATAATGAAGAAGAAAAAGAATCTGGAGCACAGAATCTGGAATACCAAAGCAGTACATTGATGACTAAGGTTGAAGATCATAATTAGTATACATGCTACACACTGTGCAAAGAACGATGAGGTATAAGAGAGGACCAAAGGGAATATGGGAGAAACAGGGATGTCCCTTCCTGTGAAAGGCTACCCTTTACACAGGGAAACAAATAAGATCAGAGATTATAAACAGTCTAGGTGAACTGATTCATTCAGCACTTAAATTTAAAAATCTGGAGATTTGCACATTAAAATCTGGGGATCCATCTTCTTGTGAAAAATCAGAAGATGCAACAACCCAAGACACGCGTCCTCAGAAGGCAACAATCTGTGCTGCAAGGAGCTGTCCGGAAGGATGGGACGGGCAGTCTCCTCTTGGACAGTCCCCAACACCCCCTATCATCTGACTCCTTTTTTAAAATAGATATTTATGTCTTTATGGCTGTGCTGGCTCTTCACTGCAGTGCGCAGGCTTCCTTTGTTGCAGAGCACGGGCTCTAGGAACGAGCGCTCAGTGGTTGTGACACATGGGCTTCGTTGCTCCATGGCATGTGGAATCTTCCCTGACCAGGGACTCAACCCATGTCCCTTGCATTGGCAGGCAAATTCTTAACCACTGGACCACCTGGCAAGTCTCTCATCTTACTCTTTACCACTGTGACTTCTGGGCCCCTATAGCACATGAATTTGTTATTCCTGACTAGGACATCTGAAACATTAGATGAACAGTTAGAGGATGATTCTGTACCTGCAACAAAAGGCCACTTGTGCAGTCCAGCCTCCATGCGTTCTCATGGCAAGAGGAGCACCATAAATCAATTCCGTACATTATCACGACTTTTTTGCTCAAGGGTATCGGGCTGGCTGCTGAACGAATCCATCTGTCTCTGGCAGCTGGACAAGGAAGCCTAGTTGCAGTGGCCAAGCCTTGCTCTGTGGGCCCCCTTGGAGGACAGAGTGGATTTTAGGATGGTGTGTCGACCCTGTACACTGCTGCTCAGCTCCGGTGTGGGGGTGGGGGGCAGAAGAGGAAGCTGGGATCCTGCCCTGACATCAGCCTTCATCATAAGGGTGCTGTGGGGGAATGCATGAATAATTTATGTCACAGCCAGACCATGCTCAGCAAGCCTCAGTGGCAATGAATTAACCTTGTGTGCATTTCCTGTCTGCACGTCAGTTTCTTTTCCACCTCATGTCTGTGGCGAGCTTATGAATGAGTGCATTCTCTGATGCCTCTGCTTTCGGACAGGCAGTCTCAGGATCCTGGGATGAGCTTCCAATTTCTGACTTGCTGTTTACAAACTGTACATTATAAGATTTCTAATAACACATGACTTTAAAACTGCCTCTGCTAAAGAGGAGTCTGGATGGAAGTGGAGAAACAGTGGTTCTTTTACAGTTTCTGAACACGTGTGCATGTGGGTATCAGGAGACCTGGGTTTTCTGGTGGGAGAAAGGAGCGGGGGGTTCGGTGGGAGGAAAGCAAACATTTCAAGAACATTCTCTGACTTGGGCACTTTACATATGTTTTCATTGCTTATAGCACTTTATAGTGGTGATGGACAGGGAAGCCTGGCGTGCTGCAGTCCGTGGGGTCGCAAAGAGTCAGACACGACTGAGTGATTGAACTGACTGATAACATTTTACAGATGAAGAAACAGGTCCCTCCAACGTGAATCCCTAGAAATAGAATGTGCATCACATTTGCAACTTCAGATTTTCCACAACAAGGACCTACTATATAGGACAGGGCACTCCACTCAATACTCTGTAATGAGCTACATAGGAAAACAATCTCAGAAAGAATGAATATACACATATGCACAACCAAATCATTTCACTATACACCTGAAACTAACACAACATTGTAAATCAACTAACTACAACATAAAATATAAATTTTTTTCCAGTAACCATGTTTTCAAAAGGTAAAAACAGAAGTAAAATGAGTTTTGATGATATATTTCACTCAAAACTCCAAAATAACTCATTTAAATATGCACGTGCAAAGTCATTTCAGTCATGTCCAACTCTTTGTGACCCCATGGATTATCAACCCTCCAGGCTCCTCTGTCCATGGAATTTCCCAGGCAAGAATACTGGAGTTGGTTGCCATGCCCTCCTCCAGGGGATCTTCCCGACCCAGAGATTTAACCCGTGTTTCTTACATCTCCTGAATCGGGAGGCAGGTTCTTTACCAGTAGCACCACCTGAGAAGTGCCTTTAAATATATAGTCAGTGTGAAAAATTATGACTGGGATATTTCACTTTATTTTTCAGATTAACTCTTTGAAGTTCAAGATGGAGCTCACATTTAGGGCACCTTTCAGCGTGGACCGGCCAGAGGAAAAGTGGTTAAAAGCCACGTGTGCCACAGCAGGAAACTGCACGGTCCTGGGCAGGTGGGTGCGCTCAAAGCTGCGTGACCTTGGGCAGGTTGCTTAATGTCTCGGGCTTCCTGTTCCCTTATCGCAAAACCTGAAGGATAGTAGTTGGACTTTGCCCAGCTCACACATGTATGCTCAGTCCCTCCTGGTTTTATGACAACAGATTAGCAGGACACAGTGGTCATTGTGTCACAGAGGCAGGGAAACCACAGGTGCAGACAAATGGCAAAATGACTTATGTGACATAATTCCGAGTCGAATCTGAAATGTAGGTGACACAGTTTGTGAAAGGCAGTTTTCACAACATGTGGAGAGTGGGTCACGCCTAAGAGTATTTGAAGCCTGGTCAGCCCCTCCACCCCTCAGTGCCCCAGGGGGCTTCCAACAACCTGTCAACTGGCCTTTACCCGGACAGGAGGGTGCTGACACCACCAGCCATAAGCATTTTCTGTGAGACACTGGGGAGATGACAATCTGCTTTAACCTTATCACAGGACACTGTAACTTCCCTAAGATTCGTGTGTGGATATTTGTTGACAATGATGACTGTGCCAAAGCAAGAAGGCATGTGCAAAAATGCTGCATGCTGGCTGTTTGAACAGCTTTTCTGTTTTATTCAGACCAATCAGGCTGAATTTCTAATATGAGTATTCAAAGAATTGATGCTAGTTAGCCAAAATCTTGGGCTTCCCAGGTGGTGCTAGCGGTAAGAAACTACCTGCCCATGCAGGAGATGTAAGAGATGTGGGTTTGATCCTGGGTCGCGAAAACTCCCTGGAGGAGGTCATGGCAACCCACTCCAGTGTTCTTGCCTGGAGAGTCCCATGGACAGAGGAGCTTGTGGGCTACAGCCCATCGGGTCGTAAAGAGTCAGACATGACTGAAGCGACTTAGCACACAATGCAAAATCTTAGCTAAAGCTAACTAGAATGAGAATTTATGAAAAGCAGAATATCTTCGTTAACCAAAGGGGAAGTTTATTCTGATAAAATCAGGTTGCTAAGGTACAGAATAAGATGCAACTTAAAATTATCACAAGAAGAGACTTCTCTGGCAGTCCAGTGGTTAGGACTGTGCCTCCACTAGTGGGGGCCTGGGTTTGATCCCTGGTCAGGGGACTAAAATCTCACATGCCATTCAGTGCAAGCCAAAAAATTTAAAAAAAAAAAAATTATCACAAGAAGAAATAGCACAGAAGTGGGAACTTGCCTTTGGACCAAACAAATTCCCTCATGTCTTGGTTTTCCCACCTTTTTCACCGTGACTTTGTTTCCTTACTTGCAAAATGGGAAAGTATATACCTTCCAGAGATAAGGGGTGAAGTTAGATTCTTAGCATGATAAACGTTAGCTCGTCTTTTATCTATGTTACTGAGAATAGATGCGGTGAAACAGTTAAGAACAAAAGGCAAAGACTTGCGATTTTGAGTGCTTTTGCCTTTTTGTGGCTTAATTTCTTTGAAAGAAAAGAAATAATTGCTTCTCTGATTAGGCTAGTAACATACTGATTGTTGGATACTTAGAAAATACAGAAACATGTATTTTTAAAATGACCAGTAATTCTACCACCACCCAGAGATAAATACTGTTAATACTTTTGGTTTGGTCATAAGCATGCCTGCATGCAAACATTTTTATTTCTTTTTACAAAACTGGAATATTATTACCAAAAAAATGTTATAGCACAATTTTCACTTGTATGCTTTTATTTTTAAGAAATTCTTAAATGTTTTGAAATTTCTCTTATTTTAAAAATATTGTGTGAGAAATGACTTAATAGTTACATAATATTTCACTATTGGGTGCACCATATTTTATTTAGTCCTAGTTTTGGAAAAGTGGGCTGTTTCCAAGATTTTCAATATAGTAAGTCTGCGTGATATTCTTGCACACAAATTTGGGGGCACATCTGTTGATGTCTTTAGGATAAATTCCTAGCAGTGGAATGAAAAATTCTAAGGGTTTTTAGGAGGCCCTGACACATTACTGGGCTTCCCTGGAGGTTCTCCAGTCTTCTTGGTGGGAAAATCCCATGGACAGAGGAGCCTGGAGGGCTACAGTCCTTGGGGTCACGAAGAGCCAGGCATGACTGAGCAATGGAAAAGCAGCAGCAGCAGACACATCACTAGATCACCCTTCTGAAAGAATGTAGCCACCGACAATGACGCTCCTGTGGGCCAAAGATCATTTTTGTACCATCTGGCCTCAGACCCAAATGATCAACTCCAATTTGAAAGCACCAGATTGTGAATGGGCGGGTTGCAGGTATGTATAGGAGTTCTGGCTTTCTATGAGGCTCGATATGTTATTTCCCAACTTTTGTAATTGGGATGCAGGGCTCAGAAAACAGAGAGTGGGCCAGACAGTTTCCAGAGATGAGAACCGCACTGAGAATGGGAAGCACTTGTCAGCTCTGGGATCAAATATAGGATTGTACTGAGAATGTGGAAGGTCCATACAAATGGCAAGATGCTGGGTTGGTTCAAACTCTCTAAGGGGAACCCGTTCGCTCCAGACTTCCGCCCTTGGCGGATGAGGCTTCTGGCTGTATGCCAACTGTAATCAACTAGAAAGAGAGCAGCCCGGAGAAACAGAAAACCAGGCCGGGGGTGCTGGAAGACAAGGGCCCAGGGGCTGGAGGAGCAGGAGAGGAGCTCGGAGCAGGAAAAGCTATGAGAAGGAAGCACTGGGTCTGCGGTACAGCCACACCAAGAGTCTGCTGGAGACTAATGACAAGCTTTCCACCTTTACTCAACATAGTTTCGGGAACGTCCCTGGTGGTCCAGTGGTTAAGAATCCAACCTGCAATCAGGGGATGTGGGTTTGATCCCTGGTTGGAAGCTAAGATTCCCACATGCCACGGAGCAGCAGTTACTGAGCCTGTGAACTCTGGAGCCCACTTGCTGCAGTGAAAGATCCTGCACGAGGCAACCAAGACCCAGCGCAGCCAAATACATAAATATGTTTTTTAAAAACACATCGTTTTGGAAGTCCTAGCGACAGCAATCGGAGATGAAAAAGAAATAAAAGGAATTCAAGTGGGAAAAGAAGAAGTAAAAATGTCATTGTTTGCAGATGACATGATAGTATACACAGAAAAATCCTAATATATAGAAAAATCCTAAAGATGCTACCAGGAAACTACTAGAGCTCATCAATGAATCTGGTAAACTTACAGGATACAAAGTTACTACACAGATATCTCTTGCATTTCTATACACTAACAATGAAAGATCAGAAAGAGAAATTAAAGAAACAATCCCATTTACCATCACATCAAAATAAATATACCTAAGGAGACAAACGACCTATACTCTGAAAACTATAAGATGCTGATGAAAGAAATAACTAATTATATTTTATTATTGTAGTATAATTGCTTTACAGTGTTAGTTTCTGCTGTACAATGAGGTGAAAGAGCTACACGCACACATGGATGCCCTCCCTCATGGACCTCCCTCCCCACCCCACCCTGACCCCTCTAGGTCGTCACAGAGCGTGAGCTGAGCCCCCGGTGATGCTCAGCAGCTTCCTGCTAGCTGTCTATTTCACACGTGGTAGTGCATACATGTCAATCCTGATCTCCCAATCCATTCCACTCTCTCCTCCCCCACCCCCGGGGGGGATCCACTCATCCATTCCCTACATCTGTGTCTCTATTCCTGCCCTGGAACTAAATTCACCTGTACGATTTTTTCTAGATTCCACCTACATGCATTAATACACAATATTGTATGTGAAGCACATCTTGACAAAGCTGTACTTAAAAAAAAAAACAGGTTGGCAATGTTCTGAGGACAGAAAGAGACAGCATCTGAACGAGGCTGAGGAGGGTGGGAGGGTAGGATGGGTGAGGGGCTGGGGGAGGAGCCAGCCACGCTAAGACCCCCCCTTCTCTCTGAAGCATCCTTTGCCCCTGAGACTCTGTAGGGCACCATCTCCTGTCTCCTTGCCTTCCTGTCACTGTACCTGCGTGAGACAGTTCCATGGAATCAGATACTTCCTATTGGCTCTGGTTCTGGAAACTGCAGAGTTGTTCAAAGCCAGGCTCAGGAGTCAGAAAGACCTGGGTTTAAGGAAGGGTTGTGATGCCATCACTGTGATATTGGACACATTTGGTACCCTCTCTAAGCCCGTTTCATAAGATTGGGGTAATATCTATTTCAAGGAGTTGTTTTGAGGCTTAAATGAGGTAAAGCTCAGAAGGCTGCTTGCTTCGTGTCTGACTCACAAGCCAGTGTTTGAAGGAATGTTGTGTCTGGGAAGAAGAGAGCGGACAGGTTCTAAGGAAAATGTCATCACGGAGGAAACCAGAGTCCTCAGAACATGGCCGCAGTGGTACTTATTTTGGCCACCTGGTTGTGTTTAAGACACGGGTGTCAGCAGGTGTTCCTGACAGGTGAGGTATTACTAAGTTACCAGTTTCCCCTAAACAGAAAGCAATAAACATTAGCTGAGCATTTACTATATGCCAAGGCTTAAAACTCAACATTAAAAAAAACCTAAGATCATGGCACACAGTCCCATCACTTCATGGCAAAGAGATGGGGAAAAAGTGGAAGCAGTGACAGATTTTATTTTCCTGGGCTCCAAAATCACTGCAGACAATGACTGCAGCCATGAAATGAAAAGAAGCCTGCTCCTTGGAAGGAAAGCTATGACAAACCTAGACAGTGTATTAAAAAGCAGAGACCTCACTTGGCTGACAAAGATCTATATGGTCAAAGCTATTGTTTTTCCGGTAGTTATGGATGAATGTGAGAGTTGGCCCATAAAGAAGGCTGAGTGCTGAAGAATTGATGCTTTTGAACTGTGGTCTTGGAGAAGACTCTTGAGAGTCCCTTGGACTGCAGGGAGAGCAAAGCAACCCATCCTAAAGGAGATCAGTCCTGAATACTCATTGGAAGGACTGATGTTAAAGCTGAAGCTCCAATACTTTGGCCACCTGATGCGAACAGCCAACAGATTGGGAAAGACCCTGATGCTGGGAAAGATGGAGAGCAAAAGGAGAAGGGG